GACGACTGGCTCCGCAGGAACGGAAGCCGGAGGAGACCCATCGGGCACAGAACTCACGGGGCCTGCATCGCCATAGACAGCGAAAACACCAGAAGGCGAAAGGACCGACGAGTCAACAACGGGGGAGGGCTCTGGGGCCGGTCGTACCATTTGCGGCCCAAAACGGTGGAAGCCCCCAAAGTCAGCCTCCGCCAAAGGCGCGTGTGGCAACGCGTCTCGTTGCTCGCCAATGGCAAGCCCACCAGCCGGTGTTCGGCGTCGAACTAGAGCGATGACTTCGTCCGCACGTACGAATGACATACACGCCCGCGGCGTCATCGACTGCAATACTGGTGTCACCGTGTCTGTCCGCATCGGTCGCCGGCAAGGGCAACAGCGAAAGAAAATCCGGATTGTCGTTGGCAGTGCCTTTACGGTAGAAAAGGGTGTAATTGAACGAGGAAAGGAACTCGAGCCAACGCTGTACGCGGGCGTTGTGGTCGCCCACCGTGACGGTGCTCTCTCTCCAAAGCCTTGTGATCCGAATAAATCGGTGTAGACCAAAAGGTATCCCCGCAGGCGATTATTGCCCATACGATACTTCCAGCCTCCAAGTTGAGCACGGTCAAATTGCGCTCGGCTTCGAGCGTAGCGCGGTTCACGAACAGAATGGGGCGAACGGAACCATCGGCCTGTTCTGGTTCGAGGGCTGCACCAAAACCATCTACATACTACATACGCGTCACAGCAAAGCCGGAGAGGGCGGCTGCCATTCGTGACCGCGTCCCAATCCGGGAAAGCCGAAACCGGAGGTTCGGATAATTTCGTCAAGACGTATCCGCCATGGCTGGCATCAAACAAAACTTCGCGTCCTTTCGCAACGTCGGTGAGTGGTTCAACGCGCATAGCCAGACCCTTGATGAAATTGCGGTGATACGCAACCCCACCCAGCAAGGAACGCAGCTGCTTGACGTTGGTTGGCAGCGGCATTTTTGTGAGGGACTCGACCTTATCGGCACGAGGACTAACACCCGCAGGAGAGATGGTGCGGCCTAAATGGACAGCCTCCTTAGCGCTGTCCTGCCGATGACGCCACAACGTTATGGAGGAACAGAGAAATATAAAGGGAAGGGAGCCAGTCTGTTGCTCCTGGCTTCGGGTACTCACAGCAGTGGTTGTTTGATCTCCTTGATAGACCAGGTCCGCTCAGCGCTCACTCGGAGAGTGAGGGAGTGGGGCTGGGATCTTGATCCTTCTTCAAGCTACTTCAATACCCTCAACGGCACGCCAAGTATCCATATCCAACGAAAATTCCAAATTTCCAAGAAGCGCTCACACAACGTTCATGCAACGCTCATACACTTGCTGCTCCATTTTTCGTAGGTATTATATGACTAGACGACGTTTCAATGTGTAGACTATGCCTTCATGTAGGACCTCCAACACACGCACGCACGCACGTTTCGTTTTTCCGGGTGGTCACGGGGCATGGATTGGTACGTCTAAACTGATTTGCAACACGCCGGGCTTCTTGGAGAATTTCAGGAGCGGAGAGGGGTCGTGTCGAGCTGATTTCACTGGAGGAGGTGCCCCCCCCGTCTACAGAACGGACCCGCAACTAAGAAAACTTATGTTGAGAGAAAAAAGCTCAAACGTTTACGCAAAATAAGAACAAAGGGCTAAGAAAATCAGCTCAATCTCGGCCACGGCGTAAGAAACGTCCCAATAAGAAACATGATCGAACGATACTCCGAGACACAAGAAACAACGGATAGCTGAGGAAGCGTGTCTAATAAGAAACGTCCCACTGCTGCTGCCAGCTCCCACCACTACCTATGGTAGCTCATCCTGCAATGTTTTGGTAGGGGGGAGAGTGGATATTTTCGCGTCGCCCGCCGGCCCCCGGGCCCCCGCGCCGCCGCGGGCTGCGCTACCCACTGGTGTTGTACTGCTGTAATGCCACAAATCACGGGAGTCAGGAAGTTCAGGAGGGCGAAACCCCAAGGAAGGGTATCCGAGCTGTCGATTTAACATGCTGCATGAAAAGGCTAGTTGTTGTGTTGATGGTTTCTGTGCAAATATATATACAGAAAATATGAGAAAATGAGAGCACAAGATGATGCGACAGTCCAAAGGAATAAAGAAATCCGTTTCCAGAAATTGGCCTACCTGCGGCTGGTCCTTCGGGCGAAAATAAGAAATTGAGGCTCGACTCGAATATGACGTTTCTTATCTCCGGGCCCGTTCTGTATGCTTTTGTTGTTGTTGTACCGAATAATAGTAGTGATATTCGTCGTCGTGCTATTGCGTGTACCCCTAGACAGACAGGCGTACCGTCCCCGTAGGCTAGCGTGCAGCACACATGACAGCCTGACGCCGAATGAGGCCGAGTATAAGACCGAGTAACATAGATAGGGGAAAGACAATGTATGTATCTACAAGTTTTTTGGCGGCTTACGCCGCCACGCCCAATGGAGCGAGTCCCAAGGTACACGGGGATGGTACGTGTGGGGATCGTGGAAGGTTAAATGGAAGTTATGTGTCGTTGAGGATGCCCGTTTGACGTGCATGTCTGTCGTGTGACAGCATGTTGGCACGTAGACATAAACTGTACTAATGCAATCGACACGCTCAGACATACGCCAAATCCTACATGGCGACACCACACATACGATCGCAACCACCTAAAGACACACCAACGACCATGAAGGGTCGAACTCCCACGCTACTGACGTAACAAAGGACATACACACACCAAGATCGAACTTATATAAGCGGCAAAGCGGCAACGCTCGATCCCACCCAAAGACACGACACAGAACTCTCACGCTTGTGACGCAACAAAACGACACCAATAGTCGACAACGATCGCACCCGCGTAAAGACACGCCTACGACGATGCAGGATAGAACTCTCACGCTTCTGACGCAACAAAGGACATCCTCACACCAAGCTCGACACCAATAGGAGACAACGATCGCACCCACCTGAAGACATGCCTACGAACATGAAGTGTGGCACTCACACGGATCTGAAGCAACAAAGGACATTCTCACACCAGGCGTGTACCTCAATACGCAACTCCGACATACACTGGACACATTACTCTAACGCGATAGGCCTTTTGCCTCAATCCACCCGCCGTCGGCGCATTGGTTGGGATGGCGGGCATTAGCCTGGCCATTTGCGTGTGCGTTTTCGTCTGTGTCGTGTAGCCCAGGCGGCCCCATGTCTCGTCGGGTGTTGTTGCTGGTGTCGGTTGCGTGCATGTATCCGATGAAGTCGA